CCCTCTATGAGGTGGATTGATTCAGTGACTGGGATAATTGGGATGGGAGTGTCAGAGACAGTGCGATTGGCACAGGACAGAGCGGAGTTCACGGCTGTTGTACATAGGGTCGCTATTGAGTCGCAGGCGACTCGACAGCACATAACAACAACAACAACGACAGTCTTTTTCTTAAGCATACTTAAAATATATATAGTTGAGATTATATTGTATATTTTAGCTTACATTTTAAATCTTTTCCTTATATCACAAGTAATTTTTCTATGTTTTAAAAAAGTCTTCAGAAATACTTTTAAGGGCAGCAAAATATTCTACTCTAAGGATATATCTTTTAAGTTGTTTAACTCTTCTCTTACTTTTGGACTTTTAAGTAGCTTCTAATTTAATTTTGCTATTCTAAGTAATTTTGTAAGGTAGTAATTTTTAACAGTAATTTTAAAAATTTAATTTTTAATAGATAACATTTTAAGTGTGATTAAAGTATTTAAGTGTCTTGACAAAACACATTTAAGTGCTTTGGCAATATTATGTATACCTTATCTGTATTTCTACACATTTAAAATATCCTTGTCTGAAAAATTTTATTCCTTGAGAAAAGTCTCACTCCATTCCTGGTAATTAGAAACATTCATTGTGATAATTCTAAATCTCCTGGTCTAGAAAGCCCACACTCAGTCTTTCTTTTCTAAAAGAGGTATTTTATTCTCTAACCTATGTTCCTCTCTAACAGTAAGACGCTGCCCAGTTCTGAAACCACCACAGCATGGCTACCTCATCTGCACTTCAGCAGGGAATAACTATGGTGCCACCTGTGAATATCACTGTGATGGTGGTTATGAGCGCCAAGGGACCCCTTTCCGGGTCTGCCAGTCCAGTCGTCAGTGGTCTGGATCACCACCTATCTGTGCTCGTAAGTAAAACCATGCATTAGAAGAATGAGCATATTGATTAGACTACTTTGAAATAGCTCCTGATAGCACAGGGGTCTAATAGCAAAGTTTACAATGTGGTAATAAGGGGTACTAAAATGTGTTTAAGGATCAATGCTACTTCATAGAATACTCTTACACCAAAAAAAAATGTTTTAAGACTCCAGGCATTCTTTTGGAATTTCTAGGAAGGCAGGAAGGAAGGAAGGAAGGGAGAGAAGGAGGGAGGGAGGGAGGAAATAAATTATCAATAAAAATGAACCCAAAAAAGAAGACTGCCCTGCTGTTAGAGGCCACCCTGCTACCACTCCAGTGTCTCCAGAGCACTACTATTGCAGATGAAGCCATTTCCTTCCTGAACATCACCTCAGTACTCCTGGCCCCTCCCAGAGCCAGTACGTGAGCTGCTGACCCTTTGGACCCCATCTAGCTGAGGCAATTGCTTCGCTTAAGAAGAATGCTAATTCATAGACCATCTTTCTTCCCAACTGAAGCAAGTTTTCTCTTGAGTTAAAGGATCAGAGAGAAATTCAGGCAGGGTGAGGTGCCCTACCCTTCTTTGGAGAAGTGAGCTCCTGAGCCAAGGTTATCAGACCAACACCCACTAAGGCCCCAGACACAAAAATATTCTACCACAAGGAAGAAGTAGACTATCTCACACCTTACACAAAAACCAAAGCAAGATGCCACCCCCCAAAAGTGATCAAAACACACAATCAATGGATTTGCTAAAGCCAGAAAGTCTGACTTAACTTTCTGTCACAGAATTCAAAAGAACAATGATTGAATATTTTCAATAGGTGGAAGACAAACTAGAAGAATTACAGCACTCTGCAAGCAAAAGCCAAGAGGAACTTAAAAAACAATAATCAAAGACAATGCAAATAAAACAAACAAGGCATTAGAGGCTCTAGAAGAGCAAGAAACTACAATCTAGAATATGAAGACCAATATTTCAGATGCTGTCAACCTGTTGGAGGAACATATGAGCAGAGATGAAGACATGGAACACAGAACCAGCAAAAGATAGGATTCTCAGCATTGATCTGCTTGAACAAAAAGCAGAATCAAAAAGGAAGGAAAAAGAAAAAAGCCTAAGAATAAGGAGGGATACCATCAAGAGGAATAATACGCACATAATTGGAATCCCAGAACAGGAAGAAGCAAGTAAGGCACCGAGTAAGGTGTAGAAGAATTACTGGAAGAAAACTATCCAGGTATAATGAAGAATGAGAGAATATACATACAAAAAGCTGAACGAATGCCATATAGAATAGACTCCAGATGAAAACCAACAAAGCATATCATAGTTAAATTTGCCAGACCAAAGATCAGGAGAGAATTCTGATAGCATCTAGGGAAAGGTGAAGAGTAACCAATAAGGGAGAGAAAATAAGATGAAGTGTTGATTACTCAGTAGAAAGCAGGCAAGCAAGAAGACAGAGCAATAACATATATTGAACACTTAATAAACACAACTATCAAAGAAGAATACTATACCCAGACAAACTGTCCATCAAATATGAAGAAGAAATCAAGATATTTTCAGAAAAGTGGAACCTAAGCAAAATACTGCTGAAGATCACTGGGGGAAAAATGTGGAACAGTACATAGACAGGGAACGGCCAGAAGGTCAAGGAGGATTTTAAAGAGGCCATGATAACAGGGACATCATTGCTGATGTCAGATGGATCCTCACTGAAGTAAAAATACCAGAAAAATGTCTACTTGTGCTTTTTTGACTATGTGAAGATATTTGGCTGTGTGGATCATAACAAGTTATAGCTGACATTGAAAAGAACTAGAGTCCCAAGAGCACGTAATTGCTCATGCAAAACCTATACCTGGACCAGGAGGCTGTTATATGAACAGAGCAAGAGAACACTGCATGGTTTAAAATTAAGAAGGGGGTGTATCAGTATTGTATTCTCTCTCCATTCCTATTTAATCTGTATGCTGAGCAAATTATTTGAGAAGCTGGACTCTATGAAGAGGAATGTGACATCAGAATTGGAGGAAGACCCATAAAAATTTGCATTATGCAGATGATATATCCTTGCTGGCTGAAAATGAGGAGGGCCTGAAGCATTTGTTGCAAAAGACCAAGGAATGCAGCCTTCAATATGGATTGCATCACAATATCTAGAAAACAAAGACTCTAACCACAGAACATGCAATATCATGATGGATGGAAAAGAGATTGAAACTGTCAACAACTTCATCTTTCTTGGATCAACAATTAGCAACCTTGGCACCAGCAGTCAGAAAATAGGAGTTGTATTGCACTGGGAAGATCTGCAGTTAGGGACCTCTCCATATTATTGAGAAATAATGATGTCAGTTTGAGGACTAAAGTGTGTCTGATTCAGGCCATAGTTATTCCAACCACTTACTATGCATCAGAGATCTGGACAATAATACGTAAGAACGATAGAAAAAGAATTGATGTCTTTGAGCTGTCATGTTGGAGTAGAGTGTTGGACACCCCATGTCTTTGAAAGAGTGCAGCCAGAATTCTCTTTAGAGGCAACGATGTTGACAGACTGAAAAAAGAATTAGACAACACCACAATAGTAGTAGAAGACTTCAACACACCACTCTCAAGAAAGTGTCAATTGGCATAATTGGATGATTGTATTTTCTAGATTGGATTTAAAATTGAGTTCAAGTTCACCGAAATTGTCTCTACCATCTATCAATAAATTGGCAACTAATTACAAGTGTAAGTACTTGAGTAAAAGCCATATTTCTAAAATCAAGATCATGTTTTCCTTAAAAAAAAAAAAAGACTTTCTCATAGGACTGTTGTTGCTGTTAAGTGCCGTCAAGTTGTAGGCGACTCATAGTGACCCTATGAACAAAAGTCCTCAAAACCTGTGTGACTTTCATGTTTTCTCCAGGTTCATAGGGTTTCTTGAGGCAAGCTATTTTGGAAGTGGATGCTACTCCTGCTTCCAAGTTTGTTTTAATCAGGGAGCTCCACCAAACACTGTTCGCCATGGGTAACCATTAATGCATTTGACACATCAGTGTCACAGTGTTCAGCTTCACAGCAACCACAAGTTACCTCTGTACTGCAAGTGGACACACCAGGGCTATATGACCTAGAAGAATGTTTGAACAAAAACATTTTTTTTTTGCTAGTGCTATGAGAACAAGAAATCCCAAAAACCATTGTTTTCATTTTTTTGTTCTCATAGGACTAGCAAAAAAAAAAAAAAAGTTAACCTAAAACAAAAGACTGGATACCATCAAGATGTTAAGTTACCCATGCTGGGATGAAGGAGAAGGATATACATTGACTGGCCATCTTCTTTCCTAGCTATGAAGATTAATGTTAATGTTAACTCAGCTGCTGGCCTTCTGGATCAGTTCTTTGAGAAAAGGCACCTCCTCATCATCTCAGCTCCTGACCCCTCCAACCGATATTATAAAATGCAGATCTCTATGCTTCAGGTGAGAGAACTTCCCCGAAAAGGGCTTAACTCCTTTATATACCCCCTAATCCACCTCATTTCCCCCTTTACCTTTACAGGATTAGTTTTTCTTCCTAGAATAAATTATGTTTCTTTAAACTTTTTGTTCATAGTTTCTGATCAATTTTACTGGAGAAAAATTTAGCACATTTGTAAAACTCCAATCTTTCACTGAAAATGCAGCATGACTACCAAATTGCGAAGGTAACTCACAGGGAATTGGATGAAGGGAATATGGTCAAGAAGCCAGGCTGCTCCTTGGAGGCAAGGATTATGAAGCATCGTCTGGCATACTTTGGACATGTTGCAAGGAGGGACCAGTCCTTAGAGAGGGGCGTCATGCTTGGGAGGGTACAGGGACAGTGCAGGGGAAGAAGACCCTCAATGATATAGATTGATTCCGTCACTGGGGTAATGGGGATAGGTATGTAGAGACAATAAGATTGGCAAGGGATAGAGCAGGGTTTAGAGCTGTTGTACATAGGATACCTAAGACTCATAAGCAACGAAATGGCACATAACAACAGCAACAACAATAGTCTGGATAGACTTGTAAGATGAGTATGACAAAATGTAAATGCTGGATATGAACTATGTTCATGTTTTCCAGGAGTACTAAGAAACACATTCTACATGCTATAATTTACCATGTACTGATATATGTGATTATATATATATTCAGTAGTTGTGGAAAACATGGACTTGGTGACAGAAATGGAGCTAGAGAGAGAATGATTGAATTTTTGCACAATGACTTATTCATTGCAAATATGTTTTTTAAGAGACATAAATGCAGGTTATATACATGGATTTCACCTGATGGTATGCATAGGAATCAGATTGATTACATCTGTGGAAAGAACCGCTGGGGAAGCTCAATATCAGCT